AGGTGTGAGGGTGCCTGGCCATGTGGAGACAACCATGTGTTTGGAATCACAGAGCCATTTAGGTTGGAAAAGGCCTTTAAGATCATTGAGTCCAACCATTAACCCAGCACTGCCAAATCACCACCAATCCATGTCCCCAAGTGCCATATCAACAAGTTTTTAAAGCCCTCCAGAGGTGGTTACTCCACAACTTTCCGGTGCAGCCAGACCACCGTTTACAGTGAAGAGTTTTTTCCTAACAAATCTAAAACTTTTTAGGTTTTTCCTAATCCAAATTCCTAATTTTTTTCCTAACATCCAATCTAAAACTTCCCTGGTGCAACTCAAGTCCATTGTATTTCCTCACTTGCTTATTCAGAACTTCAGAGCTAGGAGTGAGGTGAGGAAAAATTTGTACCACACAGACACCAAATCCAGGAGCACAGAACGATTCTGCTGTTGATAAACAATCTTTGTGGATCCTAAAATATGCATTTTGAGAGGTGTGGGCTCTTGACTCTTCACCTAGTCAATGATTACTTCTGCATTCCTCTGGAACTGTGAATTCAAACATAATGAGTTCCAATGGGTTCATCTCTGTGAGCAGGGCAGTACAAATACCAAATACAAGTTTTGGAGAGCTTTTGAGGAAGAGAAGTGGTTACTGCTTCTCCTACAAGGATGTTTTGCCCCTAGAAAAGGGTTCACTTCCTTTAAAAGGACATTCAGAGGAGGTCAGTGCACACAGGTCCGTGCAAAAGGACAGGATCAACTTGCAAATACTCTTGAGAGGTAAGGGGGAAACAGGAATGACCTTCACTGAGCCATTCTCCTCAGCCTGAAAGTGCTGTGTGGGATTTATTATTCAACAAAATGTGTGAAAATGGGATTTTTTTAGGAAGCAGATGAAAGCTTGCCAAAGGAGAATGATGGGACCAGACTAACCGGTCTGAATGAGTCCAGGTCTAGTAAACAACTTCCAGTTTAATGGCAAAAGAGCACCTGAAAACATCTTTTGCAACAGCTGAGAGAACTGAGTTATTTTGATGAAGCATTTTGACTTTAAATTGGGAGTGAAGATAACAATAATGTTTTTAATGGGGTTTATAAAAACTCATTCTGTACTACTTTAGTAACTTGTGCTTTTGAGATTGAGTTTGCCAGTTGTGGATTTCTGGCAGGTCCTCAAGTAGGAAACACTGTGAAAACCATGGGAAATGGGGAATTCTGTGTTTATTCCACCTTTCTGTCTTTTTTTTTTTTTTTTTCACTTCATAGCTTATGCTGAAGTGTCTTAAAAATGTTGGATTTGATGCTAAAATTTCTTCAGGGAGACATGAGGGATTTTTGAGGAAAAAGTTGCCTCAAGAGGAAATGATTGTCCCTCTCTCAGTGAACTCAGAGTTTGATCTACATTGGGCAGAACAATGCATGCCATGGGGCTTCAGCAAAGCCTGTGCCTGTGGAGGAGTCACAGACTGCGAGCACAGGAGCTCTCTTGGAGCCCCAGGAGCTCTCTTGGAGCCCCAGGAGCTCTCTTGGAGCCACAGGAGCTCTCCTGAGCAGCACCTGGGCCCAGATGAGCAGCCCCTTCACTCACAGACTCAGTGCTGTTCTTTTCAATGCTGATTATCTCAGCAATGAGCAGGGACCACTGATCCTCACTGAGACCTCTCTCCTGCAAGATGATGTGCCCACAGAGTCTGCAATGCTGGCATTATCCAGTAGCTGATTCCCTGGGCAGGAACCAACACGGAGGCACCGTCAGTGGGGAAGGCTTTAACTGAGTTAAATGGAGTTGCTGTGTTTCTCCAGGGAGAAACAGCAGCTTTGCCCTCCTGCTTCAGCTGGGAGCAGTGCCTGGGTCTGAATTTGGAATCCTCTTTGGGCTCCTTCATGGCTTGGCTGAGCCTCTGTTTGAGTTCCCTTCTCACTGGTGGAGCTGCAGACTGTGTAAGCCCTCAATTAAAACATCTCCTGATGGAATGTCATCGTTTGTGGTGTGTCACCAGAGCATGGCCTGTGTCCTGTGACAAGAGTCCAGATGTCCAAACTCCCCTTGCATTTCTTGGGGAGAGGAGGGGAGGATATCTCAAATGGCCCAGTGGTGGCTGCTGGCTGTGAGGGGAGCACAGGGAGCTCTCAGGATGGTGCAAGGGTGTGAAGCTCTTGCAAGATGGTTCTAAAGCAGAAACCTGTTGGGATTGAGTTTGTGGTTAAAGTTTTAGGTGTTGTCAGTGGATGCTTCATTTACTGCTTCATTTGGGAACAAAGCAGTGCCTGATCGTGCCTGGGGTCCTTTGTCAACCCCTGGTCTCCCACTGCTCTCCTTCTCCTCTTCCAATTCTCCTGGCACTGTCCCTGACCATGGCAGGTTCCTCATCCCTACAGAACACCCCAGCCCTCTTGGCAGGGATGTCAGGCCCTGCCTCTCCTGCCTGACACTGACTAGCCAGCCCTGTTGCACGGGGGTACTTTAATTCAAGCCCAGTGCCTGTTTAACTAAGGCTGTGCATGTTGTGGCACATCAGTGGTGCTGCTGGTACAAGCACAGCCCTGCTGCTGCCTGGTCCTCCTCTTCTCCTAATGTAAGGAGGGCAAGCAGGCTACTTTTAAATTCCATGGTTAACATTGGCTCGTGGACTTTATAACAGTGAGGAATAATTGTATTGCTTTTAATTGCTTTATAGCCCCTGTCTCCCGGAGAGCTTCTGCTACTGCCAAAGCACTCTGTGACTGAAGGCAGGCTTCCAAACAGCTGGATCTGGCAGGGATGGGAGGTTAAAGGCAACCTCAGCAGACTGGGCAGCCTGCTCAGGTGGAGCCCTGCAGCTGCTGCTCCACTCCCATTAATAAATCACAATGGGGACTCAGCTCAGAGGCAAGGTTCAGACAGACCATTGCTCCCAATTGCTGCAGTGTGCCTGCCCAGGGATTTGATGGCCTGCCCAGGGCACAGGAGCACAGAGAGCTGGGTTAGCAGAGGGTGTCTGCAGGCTCCTGATCCCTCTCCTGATTTCTGTACATCAAACCAAACACACACTGGGCTCTGCTGGGCCACGGTTGGGGTGTGCTCCCCTCTGGGGTCAGGCTGGGATGGGCTGAGCAGCTCATGGGAGCTGAGCTGGCTGCAGAGGTGGAGAGGATTATCCCCAGCTGGGCTTGCTCTCTGCTCATTGCTGAAGAGGAGAAACCTGCAGCTCTGGAGCTCATCCATCTGCTGCTTCCTGGGCAGGCTCAGTGTGACAGATTGCACAGATGGACCTTCCTCAAAAGCATTCCCTGGAGTTACAGAGGCACGGGGTGGTGCAGCTCAGGGTCAGTGTCTCTGCAGGGCAGCCTGTGTGTGTGTGTGTGTGTGTGCTGCTGCCCAGTGGTGCATTATCCTCATGCCTGGCAGGCCAGGAGCTGTGCCTGGCTCACATGAAGTTGGTTGGAGGGCCCTTCCCAAGGTGTGTGCACTCAGCAGGCAGCAGGACACAGCACAGAGCTCTCCTGGGTCTGTGGGATGCTCACAGGTGTGATCCATTCCAGAGAGGAGCTGAGAGCAGAGGCAGCACCTGGAATTTTCCCTTCTCTCCTGCTGTCAGAACAACTTCCCTGAGGAGGCAGTAAAGCTCTGCAGGGAACAAGAAGAGCTGCAGAGCCCAGCCAGGAGCCCAGGGGTTAAATCAGCACTACAGGGCTTGAAGGACAGCCCAGCACAGAGCAGCCTTCAGACCAAACAAAGTACCTTCTGCTGAGCTGGGGCACAGATAAAAGATCCCATGGCATTTCTTGTGTAGCTTGGAGGAGACTGCCAGGGCTGAAGCTGAAATATCTCTGCCAACAAACAAAACTGTCTTTAAACTCTGAGGCTTGTGTGAGCTATTGTTGGGGACATAATGGCTCCTCTGTTTTCCTGCAGTCATTGCTCTGCAAACACACCACTGGTCTCTTTTAAAAGTGCTTGAGTGTAAATTAAGTTCTAGAACCTGGAAAGAGGTTTCATCCATTTCCTTTTACTACCCTCAGCTGACACTTGTTTACAGAGCAGCACATACAGCAGATTTACAGCTGCTTTACCTGGATGGAGATGGGCATCTGTAGTGCTCAGGCTGAGACTCACAGATCCAGGGCTTGCACAGCAAATGTGCCCAAATCCCCTGGTTTAGGGCAGGGGTGAGGCTGGGAGGGCTCCTTGCTAATCACCCCCCTCTAAGAAAAGTTTTGGTTTGGCTGGCCTGGCCAGTTTCCTTTATTTAGCTCAGTGCTGGCACACTCCCTGCTGCCTGGTGCTGAGTGTGTGCCTGCTGCAGGGCACTCAGGGCTGCTCTGCCTGCCGAGCTCACTCTGCCTTGGGCTGCTGGGCACCCACACTGGGGCTGGTGCACCTGCTCTCCACCACAGTTCCATGGACTGGCTTTGCCCTGAGCATGGCAGAGGCTCTGGTAAGGTAAAGGACATCCTGGCTAGTGTGCTGGAGCTGTGGTGAAAACCCAGAGCTGCAGTACAAAGGGGGGAGGTGGTCTCTGAGGGCAGTAGGAATAATTTAGGTCTGTTTTGCTGGAGTGGTCTTGTAATGGAAAAGAAAATGGGTCAGAGAGTGGCTGTAGAAGCTGTATTTGCTGAAGTGCCTGTCCCAGCAGGGTGGCAGTGTCTGTCCATCCCCTCAGTGGCTCTTTGCTCATCTCTGTGTGTGCCCAGGGATCTCCTTGGGTTCTGTGCTCACTTTCAGATGAGCAGCTGAGTGCGGGACTGGGCACGTGGAGCCAGAGCACTGGCCATGGCCCTCTGGGGGTGCTGGGATCACTGGGAAGGTGCCCTGGCCAAGGGCCCAGGCAGGAATGGGTGCTGTGCTCACACTGTGGCTTTATCCAAGGTTGATTCCTAATGACCCAGATGTGTTTTGCACTGCTCCTTGGCAACCTTCCAGACAGAGACTCCTCCACAGACATGGCATTTAAAAGCAGATTATGTGAAATTTTTTAATTTTTAAATTTTTTTTTGTCCTGAAGATGGTGTCAGCCATGACTGGCAGCAGCTGTGTTCTGCTCCCTGGATTTCCCTTCTCCCCTGTGCATCAGGAGGTTCCTGTGCTGTTTCCTGCCTGCTGTAAGGGTGATAGCTGATGGTTTGGGGATAGGAAAGGAGGTGGCAGCAGGGCTGACCATCCTGTCTCTCCCCACAGGAAGATGAAGACACGCTGTGTGGTGGTGGCAGTGGTGGCTGTGGCCCTGCTGGGGCTGGTGCTGTTCCTGGGGCTGTTCTTTGGGCTGCGCTCAGGGGACCCCCACACCTACAGGAGGGCGGCCGTGGCCACCGACGCGGGGCCCTGCTCCATCGTTGGCAGGTACCCACTGCGGGAGGGGGTGCACTGGGGGAGAGATGAGAATCTTCTGAGAATCCATGTCTCAGAAGGCTGATTTATTATTTTAAAAGAAAATTTATTATATATAATTCTATTTTTATATATAATTCTATTTTTATATATAATTCTATTTTTATATATAATTCTATTTTTATATATAATTATATTTTAATATATAATTAAATTAAATTATATTAAAATTTTAAAATAAGATTTATTATATTAAAAGAAAATTATATACTAAAACTATACTAAAAGAATAGAAGAAAGGATTTCATCAGAAGGCTAGAAAGGAAGGGAAAATGGAATGATAATAAAATCTTGTGACTGAGCAGAGTTCCAGCGCAGCTGGACTGTGGTTGGTCAACAAGTAGAAACAACTCACATGGACCAATCAAAGATGCACCTGTTGCCTTTCACAGCAGCAGATAATTATTGTTTTTATTTTACTCTGAGGCTTCTCAGCTTCTCAGGAGAAAAATCCAAACAAAAGAATTTTTCATAAAATATGTCTGTCACAACCCACTCACTGTGCCCTGCCTCTCATTGGCTCTGACAGCTCTGCCATGAGACACAACTGCTGCTTCCCCAATGCTCAGGTGCAATCCCTGCAATTGCCCAGCTCATGAATATCCTTCAAGCATGGATAATCAATCCCTAATCTCCCTGTAGAAAGAGGAGATCCTAATAAACCCCAGGCTTTTACCATGCTTGATCAGCTTTACTGCAACTGCTCACAGACGTTGTAGCAGACAAAGATTGCTTGGATCCATAACAATGAGAATGAGAGTTTTCTTTCTAGCTCCTTTAAAAAAAACATTTATTGAGGTATCCTTCAGTTCTGGTCTCAAGTGCTGCAGATTCAAGGCTCCTGAGCAAGCTGTAATTTCTCATGACAGTGTAATGAATGTGTGTGGAATGTCTGTCCCCACGCGTACTCTGTCACATCTTGCTGCTTCCAGGCTGGTTTGGATGTGTCTCTAACGAGGGCACACTGACCACTGAGGGTCTGTTCTCCCTGGTGACGGAAGCTCAGAGCTTCCTGAGGAGCTCCTGGGCTGGGCGTGGACAGATGTGCCTCAGAGGCTGTGCCGTGCAGTGCTGAAGGCAGCTGAGGCACTGTCTCATGTCCCTTCCCTCCTGCTCACAGGGACATCCTCAGGCAGGGAGGGTCGGCGGTGGACGCCGCGATCGCAGCCCTGCTCTGCGTGGGGCTCATGAATGCTCACAGCATGGGCATTGGAGGGGGCCTCTTCTTCACCATCTACAGCAGCACAGGTAAGGGACACGGCCACACACAGCTGGAACAGCTGGAGAGCTTTATCTAAGTGATTTATCCTACCTGGAGAAGGTGGATGATGCTCACAGCCTCTGGGGGAGTGGCAAAAATAATTGCCAAGGACCTGGCTCACGTTGGTCAGAGTCCTCCAGCAGAGACCATGGCTGTGTGCAGAGTCCAGAGCTAAACATCATCTTCCTTGCTCTGTCATTAAAGGGAAAGTGGAAATCATTAATGCAAGAGAAGTGGCTCCAAAGAAAGCATCAGAGGACATGTTTGGGAACAACACACAGCTCTCTCTGAAAGGTATGGCAAAGGCTGCTGCACTGCTTGGGGGGACCACAGAGCTCCAGCACTCCCTGCTACCAGCACATCTACATTGAGAACATTCCTTATGGTTGGTTCTTGCCTACCTACAGGATTTCTCACCTAGAAATATCCTGGAAATATCCTCTTGCACAATTTGCAAACTCCGGCCTGACAAATAAGCTAAAAACAATGCCCTTTAAACAAGTCAGGGACCCCATCACTTTCTGCTTCTCACTTCATGAAAAAGCAGGTGAATGCAAAGCACTGAGTGTGACCTGTTCCACATGTGCCATCTTTGCTTTCCACCTCTTTGAATTAATCTTTGTGTGGATCACCTTGGGTTTTGTCAGTTCAGGTTTCCTCCCTAAATTACTTGTGGTGGCTTCAACCACAAGCCCCATTAGGCTTGGGGTGTCCAGAGAAGTTTCCTTTCAGGAAAGTATTTTCTAATAAGAAATAGAAAGAAATACTAACTAGTTCTCTTCATGGTCACTCTTCTAAGCAAGAAGGAGCAGCACCTTGGAGGGGGTTTGAGCAGTGTATTGAACTTCCAGGAGATGCAAGAGGAAACAGGATTGAAGCAAGCTGCAACATCACTGTGGGATGTGGAATCAGCCTGTTCCAGTTGCAGCTACAATGCTGTAACAAAGTTTTGGTTCCAGTACATCACAGTCTGTGTCCTCTCCCATGACAGTTTCTGTGTTCTGAGCAGCTTTGCTCTGATACAGAACCTACAGAGGGAAATGACCCAAAACTGGAGTTACCAGCAAGAGCACAGAGGGGTTTCAGCAGTTTGGAATACGTAGGCACAAATGTCAGACCAAATTATTCTGTTAATTCTGTTAATTCTCACAAGCTGAGCAGGTCACACAAGCCCTGCCTAAACCAGGGCTGGCAGAGATGCCTGCCCTACCTCCTGCTCATCAACCACTTTCTTTTCTGGCTGTGGGAGACTTACCCCATTCCTTTTCTGCTCCAGGAGGACTGTCAATTGCTGTTCCAGGAGAAATCCGGGGCTATGAGCTGGCTCACAAACGGCATGGCAAACTGGCATGGAAAGATCTGTTCCTGCCCAGCATCAAGCTGGCAAGAGAAGGATTCCCTGTTGGGAAAGGCCTTGCTGCAGCCATCAAATCAAAACAGGAGGCAGTTGAAAGCAATCCCTTGCTGTGGTAGGTGGAGCAGTTGCTGTTCTATGCAGAGGAATTTGGAGTGGCTGCATCCAATCTGCAAATTCCCCGTGTTTGTGCAGTGCAGAGTCCATGAGGAGTGTATCATCATCATTCCCTGCAGTAACCACACTCACTGTGCCTGCTGGGGTCACTGCAGAGACCTAAAGGTGCTAAATCATGGGGAATGTTCAGTCCTGACCTTTAAAGGGAGAGAAATTCTACTCCTGAAGCCCATTTGTCTGAGCAAGGTGGAATTAGAGATTAGAGTACGTGCTGGGATCAGCCTGCTCAATGGCAATGGATTTTCTGAATTCCTGCTTTTCCTCATGCTGTGAGTGCCCCAAGCTGATCCTGCCTGCATTTGGAGTAATTGCAGTCTCCTTGAACATCTCTGCTGTCAGGCAGTGGGAATTGGGATCATCTCTTACTCTGCAATCAGCCTTCCTGGTCAGTGCCTCTGACCATCCACCTCTGGCAAGGACTTTGAGCATGAAGAGTTTTAAACACTCCTCACTTCTTACAGTCAAACCCTCGGTGTTTATGCACAGCCCTGATGGAAATCATGCTTAATTCTCTCTTTTCCCTAAAATCTCTGCCAGCTGCAGGTTTGTTTCCTATCTAATTGATAATGTACACCCTGGCCTGCCTCCTGTCCTTCCATCAGGCAGGTCCACAGCAGCACAATCATGATCCATCATGGGGAGCTAGAGAGGAAACAATCTTCCTTAAAGTGATCTCTCAAACAGGGACTGAAACACTTCTGGATTTACTGGAAGCTGTGAACCTCATAGCTTAACAGGCTGTGCTCTGAACTGCACTGCTGAGTCCAGGACTGTGGCCCCTCCTGTGCAGCTTGAGGCACTGTTGGCCCCTGGGGTGGGCAGGGAGGGTGGTGCCATGGTGAAATCCCTGCTGCAGGCTCCATGGAGCACACTGAGCATGTGGAATTGCAGGTCAGAAAACACTGCTCAATTTTGTGTCCCAGTGCCAGGATCGGAGGAGCCCATGGCTCAGGCAGTTTCCTTCTCCCCAAGAAGCACCTGGCATGGACACTCATGCTGCTTCAGCTGCCACAGACACACATAGTTCTGAACTTATCCCTCATATCTGATCTTCCCCATCTCCTTTCTCTGCTAGTGAAGTGTTCTGCAAGGGAGGGAAAATCGTGCAGGAGGGTGAAACCATCAAGATGCCCAAAATAGCCGAGACCTACGCCACCATAGCCAATGAAGGAGCAGATGCCTTTTACACAGGAAGCCTGGCAAAGCAGATCATTGCTGACATCCAGAATGCAGGTGAGAGCCAGGACAGCCTTCCCAAGCAGCAGGAGTGACCACACTGCTCAGAGCCCCAGGAGCAGCCAGTGACCTGCAGAACCTTGGGAGAGGCCAGCCCTGAAATGCTGCCTCTGAGATCTGTGGCGGCAGGACACCCAAAAGAAGCACTTTAACAGATGCGTTTGAAAGTCAGAAATGGGGAGGGTTTGCTGTGCATTGCTGTGCCACAGAGCCTCCCAAGTCTGGGCAGCTCAGGCTGTTCACAGAGCCTGAATCCCACGAGTTTGTGCCTAAAACGTTCCATCCGTGGTGGTCCTGTGAGCTCTGAGCTGTTTGGTCTCTCTGTGCCACTAGATGGTGGCAGCATCCCATCCTCACCAGCCAGCACTGGGCTTGGTGAGCTCCCTGTGAGTAATTACTGGCTTCATTTGTGGGGAATAATTACTCACTCTCTTCCCCCTGCAGATAAGAAAGAACATTCAAATTATTCTACCTGTGGGATGCCACAAAGCATCTTCACCCAGAACTGCATCTTCCTCTTGTAAACAGAATTCCTAAGGTCATATTGTAGCCTGACACTGCTGGTGTCCTTTGTAAAAAAAGATGGATCACCAGAGTTGTGGCTGCTGTAAATCAGCCCAACTTTGTGCTTAGACTATCTGAGCCTGAGATGGATCTATCAAGGAGTAAATCTCCTGGGCACACATCTTTGCTTTCCTCACCTTGTTGCCTTTTGGATTTGTCCATGCTGTGATTCATGGTGGTGGAGCATGACCTCCCCTTCCCACCAGAGATGACACAAACCCACATCTCCATTTTCCTTCTCTTTCCAGGGGGAATTGTCACATTGGAAGACCTGCGGGACTACAATGCCACAGTGATCGAGGACCCCATACAGATCCAGCTTGGGGAGTTCACCCTCTACACACCCAGTGCCCCCCTGAGTGGCCCAGTCCTGGCCCTCATTCTGAACATATTGAAAGGTGAGAGTGCCACAGAGCAGTGCCCCACAGGCAGCAGGAGCTGGGAGAGCTCCAAATACATCACCTTTTTTGGGGAACAAGGTTTTTGGGGCTAGGCCTCCAGCAGGTGAGAGGTCTGAGAGCCCAGGAGAGATCAGAGGTGCAGAAACATTCCTGTTCTGCTGTAAACTCAGCGATGTTGCCTTCCTACCTGAAATACAGGTGCAAGAGGAAAAATATTTTCCTGATAAGTGGAGGGAGCTTCCCTGATACTGATACTTGTATGGGTGGAACCTAACATTTACTTAAGGATTCTTTGGAAATCACCTCTGCAAGTGCAGATTCTGCTGGTGACTCCCACAGTGCTCAGAACAACCAGAGCTCTTGAGTTCTCCATGTGGAGATGAGGACAGTCCAGTGACTGCATCTGGGCTTAGAGGTTCTACATTTGGCACAGGTGCATTAGCAATCCATGGACCCTGTGCTTTGTTTGTGCTCTGTTGCCAGGATATAATTTCTCTGCTGCCAGCATCAGAAGCGTGGAGGAGAAGGGTCTGACCTACCACCGCATCGCGGAGGCGTTTCGCTTCGCCTACGCCAAGAGGACTCTGCTGGGAGACCCCAAATTTGTCAACATTACAGAGGTACCTGGCCAAAAGCCTTTTCTTTCTGCAACACCAAAGCTGACTGGAATATGGCTGAAAGTTTTTGGTGACTCCATTTGTCAGGCATGCTCTGTGCCACTTGCTGTGAAGGCACAGAAACAGCTCTGAGCCAAAAAGCGATGCTCTGTGTGGCTCATGGCTGAGCTGTCAGGGCTATAAATGGAGGCAACCTTCCTGCTGGAAGGAAAAGCAAACTCCTCAATTCACCAGGAGAGCTGGAGTACATTTAGGTCTAACCCTGCATGGTTTTGTAGTGTTTGAAGCCTTATTCACCATATTCCCAGCATCCCTGTGGCTCTCTAACCAGAGTCCTGCCTGTAGTAAAATGCAGCTGCATATGGGTAGGGATGAGACTGCTTGTCCCAGCTTTGCACTTTGTGCTTTATTTCTGCAAAAGCAGCAGACTCTGAGCCCAGCCCAGCTTGATGAACACAAATTTTCAGCTTATAAGCTCTGGTCAGACCTTGCTTTGTCCCCGTCCTATCCCATTCCTCTTGTCCCTGCAGCAAGTGTAGCCCTGCTTCCCTCACAGCAGTGTGGAGGCAGCTTTCCATAGCCCTGCAATAATGGATGCTGATCAACTTCTGCACAAAGGGGTGACTTTAACAGCTGCTCCTGTGACAGCTTAAAATGATCTTTTGCTACAACGTCCATCTTCCAAGAAGGAAGACTGTCACCATGATATTTTATGAAAAATCCTTTTGCCAGGATTTTTCTCCTGAGAAGCTGAGGCCTCAGGAACAGAATGTAAACATTGATTATGTGCTGCTGTGGAATGCAATAAGTGCATCTTTGATTGATCAAAGTTGGTTGTTTCTAATTAATGGCCAATCACAGCTGGCTCGGAGAGTCGCAAGCTTTATAATTCCTTTCGTTTCCTTGCTTGCCTTCTGATGAAATCCTTTTTCTTCTATTCTTTTAGTATAGTTTTAATGTATCATTTTAATATAATATTTATATAATAAAATAATAAATTAGCCTTCTGAAACATAGAGTCAAGATTCTCATCTCTTCCCTTGTTCTGGAACCCCAGTGAACACCACCACAGGAGGACCCTTGGGGTGAACCTGTAGCCTCACTGCTGGGATTTGCCATTGTTGTGTGGTGTAAAGTATGGGATAACAGCCTCATGAGTGTGAAAAATGCCAATTACTTGTTTTTAAAATTTTAAAAGTGTCCTAGTAATAAAATGGTTATATAAAAATAGTAATACAATTAGAGTAATAATAATTTGGACAATTTGAATTAGGACAATATGAGACAACAAATACAAAGAGTTACAGATCGTCCGGGTACCTTTTCTGGGCAGCACGAGCCTGAAAAGGGACCCATGTTAACAGAGGGTTAATCCTTAAAAGCAACGGCCTGTTGTATATTCATACACCTCATCCATGATGCATGAATTCCTTTTAACCCCGGGTTTTTTTTTGTTCTTCTTCATGTTTTTGTTTTTATTCTTACCGGTCCTTTGGGGTTGGGAGGAGTTTCTTTTTTTTTGTTAGGGGGGCATTAATTTTTTTTTTTTTGAAGGTTTCGGTTTCCTGTGGCTGCTATCTCGCTGCAAGTCCTTTCTTTAAAAAAAGTATCCTACATAGCGTCTTTTCTATTTTAACAATTTTTATAACCTAAAACTATATTTAACACAGTACTTAAGAGAGTTATTACAGCATTACTTTCTAAAACAACACATATAATATTCCTTTTAATATTTGCCAAAAGCCAACCATAAAATACATGCGTTTTTCACACGGGGACGTGCCTCAATGTGCTGAGTGGCTGCCCTGGGTTTCTCTGGCAGGCAATCAGGAACATGACATCGGAGCTGTTTGCGGACAATCTGCGGAGGAAGATCACGGACACCTCGCACCCCGTGGGCTACTACGAGCCCGTGTACTACACTGGAGACAATGCCGGTACATCCCACGTCTCCATTGTGGCTGACGATGGCAGTGCTGTGTCCGCCACCAGCACCATCAACCAATAGTAGGAGCTCAGACATTCCTTCCCTGTAGGCTTTGCCACCTTCCTAGTGCTGGTTCTGGGTGTCAAACACCTCTGAGTGTCACCTCTGGGGCGGGCTATGGGGCAGCACTGCTGGGGATGGGCACTTCTGCTGAGCTCAACACTGAGGCCTCTCTCAGTGCTTGTGTCCTCTCTCTTGTTGAACTCCACCACAACGTTGGCTGCATCTGGATCTTCTCATAAGCGCAGCTATTGCTGCTGGTTCTTGTCGAAGTGAAGGGAGAGACCCATCCTAGTTTGATCAGCATCTGACTCCGATTTATTCATCAACTAGCCACTTTTTATAACAGTGTTAATTCACTTCATGCATATTGCAAAATCTGAGCTCCTGATAGGCTGTAGAGAAAACTTCAGCTCCTCCTTTTGTTTACAATACCTGAAGTTTGTTTACTGAAACCAAGATCAGTGTTCTCACCATGATATGCAAAGTTCTCAAAACCTTCATATCTGTTCCCAGACCGGCCATCTGTTCCCAGTAACAGTCAAGGACAGAACGGTCTGAGAATCTTGTTGTTTATATAAAAGGTGGCTGAGAACCTTAATTATTTACAGAATCAAGCCTGGGAAAGGCTGCTTTATAGCAGGCTTCTATCTTTCCCTCAGCTGAATACCTTCATGGCCTCTTTCTTTAAGCCGTGCTTGAACCAGGCTCTCCACAGGTTCTGATTTCCCAGGCTTTTGGAAGGAATTTGAGCTAATGCAGCTGGCCTGGGAGCTCAGTGTTTGGCTGTGAGTGCTGTCAGAAAGAGCTGTGTTCACACATATGGCCTGGAGCCAGGGTGTGAAGCTTATTTTTATCCATAGAAAATGTCTCCAGCTTGACACATCTAAGCAAAGCCCCAGTCACTCCCAAATGTGCTGCCTCTGAATGGAGGGCAGTGCTGCCCACCTGGAAGGGGCAGGGGTTGTCCTGAGGTGCTGTGCTGGTTTTCCCCATGGGATCCTCTCAGGGGAGGTGCAGGAAGGGCTCTGGGCTGCCTTTCCTCTGTGTGAAGCTGTGTACTCACAGTATTAACTGCTTCCTTCCCCCTAGGGGTGACAGAATGTCCTTAACAATGGGAGCATTTCTCCAATCAAATCCCAGGTTTCACATTGCAGTAAATTCAGCTGAAGCTCTGCCTGGATTTGCTGTGGGTTTGACCTGACTTTGACAATTTGTTTTCTCCAGCTTTGGCTCTGATGTACGATCCAATGTGAGTGGAATCATATTTAATGATGAAATGGATGACTTCAGCTCACCTTACATCATCAATGGATTTGGGATCCCTCCTTCTCCAGCAAATTTCATAGCTCCAGGTAGCTCTAAACTGCATTTCTGACCCAACGTTTTGGCTGCATTGTGCATGCTCACACTGCAGCATCTGTACCATGGGACATGCAGGGGACAGGGGTGGGAGGGAGTCAGGAAGGAGATGAGTGCAGGGGATGGTGGGATCCCCAAGGGCTGAGCAGGACATGAGCTGAGTCAGGCAGGTGAATACTGAGCCTCTGGGCTTAGATGTGGAGCAAGAGCTGGAAATCCTGAGCTGCAGGTAGAAAGCTGAGCCTCTGTGTTGCCTCTGTGTCCCCACCAGGTAAACAGCCCATGTCCTCTATGTGCCCCTCCATTTTGGTGGATAAAATGAAACAGGTGAGGATGGTGGTCGGTGCTTCAGGAGGAACAAAAATAACGACAGCAACAGCACTGGTACGTGAGGGTGTGGGCAAGTGGGGCAAAATGGGAGAGGCAGCATTTGGGGGGACTCCCATCTGCACCTGTGACAGGATCATGGCTGTGGCTCCCTGCTGGGGCCAGGGGCTCGAGAAGGAGGTTCCTGCCTGGCATTCTGAGGGCCAGACCTCCAACACCAACTCCTGCCAGGGCTACAAAAGGTCTGCTATTGAACTGCCCCCTTTAGTGACTCCAGTGCCTCCTTTAGTGATGTTTTCTCTGGCAAGTTGTTCTTACCACTTGCACAAGATTTGCTTCGAGTTCTGTTCTCTGCATCTCCATCTCCCTATTTACCTAGTTTAGAGTTGTTCCCATCCAACATCCCAAACTTTGGATCAAAGTCCTACAGAGAAACTAAGTGAGAACTCAGGCACCGTGTCAGGCCTGACAGGCAGGGCCTCTGTGAGCTGCTGTGGCAGCAGCACCAGGCTGGATCTGGCCTTTTTGGCTGAGGTGTAGGAGAAGTCTGTAAAAACCACTACAAACAATTTCCTAAGCCCTGGACTCTGAGTGTGTTCTCACCTCCCAGCAGCTCCAGCCTGCAGTTCAATGAGCCAGGCCCAGGGGAACTGTTTGTACAATAGCTGGAAGCTGTAGGTGTGTTTGCTGAGGTGACTGCTGTGTGCTTGGCTCCAGCACCATAAACCCAGCCACCATGGCTCAGGGATCTGATCCTTTTGCTGTGTTCATTTTAGTCACTCATGGTTTCTTTGTGTGGGAATCCTCCTGAGCATATACAAGCTGCAATGCACCTGTGTTTTGCTTGGCCAAGAGAAGGACGACTGAAAGCCACATAACCCAGAAATGGTGCCTTTGGTGTGCCCTGTGAGCATCCTTGAGGCACCTCTGCCTGTCAGACTTCTCTGAACACAGTAATTAACATTGAGGCTTTTTGCTTCTCACAGACAATCATGAATTCCCTGTGGTTTGGTTATGATGTGAAGAACGCAGTGGAGGAGCCCAGGATTCACGATCAGCTGTTTCCCAACATCACAGAGCTGGAGCTGCAAATAGAGGAGGTTGGTGTCACCAAGCCATACATGAACCTGTATGAGCTGGGCCCCTGGTGCTGGGAGGGCAAGCACTGTGGGAAACCATCAGGTTTGGCCAAATGTTCCCAGGTGAGCAGCAGTAAAGCTGGTACAGGTCTGGTGCTGGGTCACAATGAGCTGTGCAAAGTGCACCTTCAGTCTCAGTCACACAGGTGTGAAAGCAGTGCATTGAAGAGTGCCTGAAACTGGGCATCTGCTTGCAGTGATGTTTGGTACAAAGGACTTGCAAAACAGCAAACCACATCAGGGCCCAGACCATCCAGCAGTCTCAATCCAGTCAGTCTCAGGGAGCTCTTGTCCTGTTGTGTAACCTCGTGATGAATCTGGAAGGCCCAGAGGGACCTGGGAACAGGCTTGAAAATAATTCACAGTGGAGATGTCAGCACAGCACTGCCAGCTGGAGAGCTGATGGCAAGGTCTGCCTTGCTCCCCAGACCCCTCACCTGAGCTGGCAGCTTCACTCACCCGAGCACCTGCACATCCCCAGAGGCCTGAGGCAGGCACAGGCTTTGGACATCTCTCATGCCTCTGTATCTGCCTCTTTGTACCTATCTCATACCTCTGTGCCTCTCTATTTGGGAAAACAGTCCTACATAATGCAGTTTTCTTATCAAACTCTGCAGAAGTTCCTCTGTCAACAAGCTTCTTATGAAGGTAAGGGCTGAGGTATCTGCAGCACTGGGGAGGATGCCCTGCGCTCTGCAAGTCCTGTGTTCTCCAGCACTGCCAGACAGGATCCATCAGTCCTGTTAGTGTGTGAATATCTGTGACCAAGAATAGTGTTGGTAACCCACACTGAGCACCACGCATATCAAATTCTGAATTCCACTCATTCAAAAGTAGGGCAGCCCAGAAGGCAAAGGGAAGAGGAGGAACAACACCGCCCTGTGCAACACAGGTCCTGAGCACCTGGCGGGTTGTGGGGGATGCAGGGTGCAGGATGCAGCAGGTGCAGTTTGCTCACACAGCTGTGCATTGCAGGGCATTAAGCAGGTGCTGTTTGCTCACCCAGCTGTGCATTGCAGGGCATTAAGCAGGTGCAGTTTGTTCACCCAGCTGTGCATTGCAGGATGCAGCAGGTGCGGTGTCCCTTTGTGCTCATGCAGCTGTGCATTGCAGGTGCAGTTTCCTGCAGGTGCAGTTTCCCTTTGTGCTCACAGAGCTGTGCATTGCAGGCTGCAGCAGGTGCATTC